TGGAGCATGACTCTAGACTTGAGAGATTTCAAAACTGACATTTAATTGGCATTTCTGTTAGATTTTTGATGTTTTGTTGCTTAGTAAACCTTAAATTCAACTGTCTGCATGAAAATATCTGGGATGATAAATAACGTGCAAGCTTATAAAACCATTCCACCATAAGTATGGTATAACACATGGTAGCTAGCTGGATAGCCATGTAGCATTTTGCTCAGAGAAGCAAAGTAAATTGATATTTTATTGCTGTATTTATTTATTTACAGCAGTACCTAGGTGACGTAGCCCTGTGATGGCCTGGTGATTTGTCTATGGTGTCCCACCTCACCTTCTGTTCAATGACAGCTGGGGTTGGCTCGAGCCTTCCTTCCAATCAGGATTAGATAAGCAGTTAAGACAATGGATGGACAGGTTAGCTGACCATTAAGAACATGAATGCTCTAGATAAAATATCTGTAACATCAACATTTCAAGGTTTTTTGTCAACAGTTGCAGTTATTAACTTGATATTTTGAGATAACAGATGAAAAAATGGGACTTTTGATGGAAAAAATCTGCATTACTCTTAATGCACGTGTCAGGGGCAAAAGGTGCTGTGGTTAATTCAAACTGGGCACTCTCTACCTTACTCTGTGTAACATCAGATCAGCAGAAATTGAAGTCAATGTGGAAGGAAAGCTCATATATGTTTATAGTTTTAGCTTCGATTAGCTAAATGTTAGTAGCATTTGTGAAGCTGCCAAAAGACAATGGGACATGTGACTAACTGGAGGATGTTGATGTTGAGTTCAATGCTTTTACTCAAGGACAAACTGACATGTGGAGAGGAGGAGTAGGAGAGCCAAACACCTGAGCTAGAGCTACCCACGTGTCAGTATAATCTCCATTAATTTTCTCAGGTTGCCAGTCTGTCACTGGGCAAAACTAACCCTGTCAGTACTTAAATTAAATGAAAAGAATTCAGTCATTTCTAAAACAAACATACCAGAGTAGATAAATGAATGTTCAACCTCCCAAAATTAAATGAGACTCTTTTTCTTCTTCTTCTTTTTTTTTTTTACAGGAAGACACAACTGGAGATTACCAGAAGGCTTTACTCTACCTGTGTGGTGGGAATGATTAATGGAACCTTATGACGCATTTAGCAGCAATGAATGATGAGCCATCATGTTGCTGCAAGACAAAGCTATACACATGAGATGAGGATATTGATCTATAGTTCTTCTTTCTGTTAGTGTGTGTTTATCGAGTTAGTGTGAATTACCTGAGTGTCATTTTGACTTATGACAATATTATATTGTATGAATATTATTTACAAGGCACTGTTCTTTTTTTGTTTGTTTGTTTTTTAAATGCCAGACAGAACATATAGCTCTAATTTAGTCCTTGGTAAACAAGCAGTTTTGATTTTAATGCAGATAATAATACTTTCTGAAATGATGAAATGCCTGATTAATTTAAAATTTTTGACCTCTTTTTCTTGTCAAGTGTACACACAATGTTAGCAGCTGTTTACCTTATTTGAGCTCACTTCTCACAGCATGTGTTAAATGCAAGTTTGAAAATACAATACCGCTACTCAATTATTAAACCCTACATGTTGACAACCCTGATGCTCTCATTAATAAGAAATGAGACTGTGATCCAGACTCGACGTGCAATGCGGCTGTCAGTGATCAATAAGTAATGGGACGCTATTAGACATTTGTTGATGCATATAATGAGATCTATTGCTTCCATGCCTTTCTGCACGACGAGGCCAAATGTCAAACAAACGGGATCCCTATAGGTCACTCGGTGGAAAATGATTTTATTTTGCTGGAACTGAACCACAAGGTGGCAGCAGAGTTTGAAATGAGGACACAATGTCTTTATATTCTTTCTCATTACAGTGATTGATGAGATCGTGTCAATATATTTTACTAAAAAGTAATTTTCTTTTCACAAATTAACAAATTCAAATGTAAATAAATGGAGTGATTACAATAGGGCCTTTGCAGACTAGTACTCGGGCCCTAACTAATGTTTTTCAACCCTCCCATTTTAACCACACCGCATACCTTAGGCAACGTGTGTAATCTTTCTCATATATCACTGCAATGTTCCCTCATTTTCTTATAATTCAACTTCACACATTTAATACCTTTTAAATACAAATGGGTATTTAAGTAAAGTTCTTGGTTGGTGAATTTGCTCATTAATGGGCATATTAGCCCATTAATGAGTGCAAATGATGACTGTTATTGATGAAATTTGAGGAGGATGCATATAAGGATGAGTCATATAAATGTTGATCTGTTTAAAATTATGAAGTCATTAAAATAACCCAGCACAGATGTGCATGTCAATACTCTCGAAATGTATCATTTCTCAGTGCGGTTCAGAAATATTCAGTGTTTCAGTTCAGTGTGGTTATACATATTTTACAGTCATGTGACCTAGACACTGTAGTATTCAGTGTATTCAGTATTCAGAAAGCACCTCAGGGTTAAACATGAAAAGTGTTTTCATGTATAGTCACGCTTTCTTTTGAGGCTCCTGCTCTCTCTGCAGACACAAGTCCACACAGATTCATTGCAAAAATGACTGGAAAGTTGATGCTCCACATCTCTGTAGGTATTTATTCATCCAAGGAGAAAATTGCATTTGCTTTTCAATGCAGCTATACTATTGCTTCATAATGAATCTGCTGTTTATTTACAACTTTGGATAGATTCCACAGCTCAACAGAAATGCCAGTGCAAAATAAGAAAATAGCACAATCCTTATAACATTACTCCAACCAGAATAAAAATACATACATACAGTACAATGAATAGCAAAAGAGAGACACATTAAAATTTAACATATTTAACATCCAGTGATTTGAAGGGTTTTGATATATTTAGGTGTAGTATTATAAATTATGAATAGCAGTGCTGGCTGTTAATGACAGTCCAGTAATTTGAGATAAATCACCTGATTTTAAGCATTTTACTTTTAAGTTTATGAAAAGGGGGTTACTCAGGAAAAAGTTTAGTTAAAGTTGGTAAACCAAAATATCCTTAAATTTAGTACACCAGATGGAGGAAAACAGGTACCCATGTGCAATGTAAACCATACACATACTTTGTGTATGGTAGATCTTTGAAATGTGCAGTTTAAAGTCACTGCCAGTCCCAGTGCCTATAAATCAGGCATGCTCCATGCTAGATGATCATTTCTACTGCAGGACGACGCTGTAAATAATAGTGAGGTGGTATTCTGTCCACTGTCAGTTATTTCTGGGAAATCTTTGCTCTGAGTCACATTATTTTAAAATGCAGCGTTTGCATGCATATTGAGCCTTTATAATATGTCTAGAAAAATGATACTCGTGCAGCCAGATGGATGGTGATGTTTGTTTGGTCTAGACTGACCATGACAGCACACACTCATCTGTCTAACTTCACACTAACAGTGCCATTTTATGGCATTTATTTTAATTCCCTTCAGTTCTTTGTTATCTTGGCTCCACTGAGCCTAAAGCTTATAAACTAAAAGCTCACTTGCACACATACAAAGGCATTCGTATAAGCTTATAAGCCTGACTCACATACACACTGTGCCAGATCTCCTTTGTGTCAATAGTGCTGAAATGTGTTTTGAATATTTTCAGCTTGACCAAGCCTTACATCGCCTCAGCCAATCAGGAGTGGTTGCAGGCAGTCACACCACCTGAATGCCCACCCTTTCCTGGGTTCACCTACTGGGGAAAGATTTGGCTTTCATGTCATGGATTGACATCCATTTACATATCATGAAATTAATAGCAGGAACAGACCAATGTTAACATTTGTTTGGATTTTGTTAGAGGCCACCTGAAGAAAACATCTTACTAGCTGTTTTTGTTTTCACATACTCATTTGTGCTAATTGGAGTCACTAAACAGGTCTTTTTTTAAATGGTGCTGGGGCTTTTAGACAGTGTTGGGAAGGTTACTTTTAAAATGTATTCCATTACAGA